CCCCCCCCCCCCCCCCCCCCCCCCCAACCACCTTGTTTTCCACACCACGCCCCCCCCATGTCACCTTTAGTCACTGGTACTTATTACCTTTGTCAAGCTTTCTGTGTTTCCTGACCCATTTTGCTAAATTTAATTTTACCCAAACTGTTTCTCTGTTCTACAGTCTTGATACTTCCTTTGGTGCTTTTAAATTTTTATTTTCCTGAATCATCCCACCTCTTGCTACTTCATCATTGACTAAAAGCTCACAATGTTTCCGAAACAACATGTATTCATAAGCAAGGACCTGTCCTCTGCAGGAAAAAGAAACTTGTCTTTGTTCAAAATTAAACCAGCATGTGGTACAATATTTCCCTGGCACTTTTTCCAATGAGAAAACTCAACCAGCTTGAAAAACTCACTTGTTTTCTCATGCAGTGTAAATTGTTGCGTACTTTGAAAGCTGATATTCTTGTACTTGTCATGATGAAAGCAAGACAAAACACTTCAACTGTATGCCTTGTTCTCAACAACACAAAAATTTGAGGGAATTAAGAGTTCCATAATCCTAAAAATAATTTATGGTGTTACTTGAACTTTCAATTGAGATTTACAATTTCATAACTCCTGATTGAAAAGGAGTACAGAGTTTCAATTGATTTTAAAGGAAAGCACCATTTTTTAAAAAAAACTTAGTTTTAAACATTAGATATCATTGCTACATATTTGCAGCTGACAGTTTTAATAATGCAGATGTTGTTTGAACATTTTAAAATGTTATTGAAACTGTTCTTTTCTTTCAGATATGTACTGTGACTGTCATTCACTACCCTGAATATTTAAGAAAGGAAGGAAGAATCTGGTTAAAATGAGAAGTGTCTATAATTTTTTCGTTTTATTCACATACACTTTATCCAAAAGCCCTTCTATTAACAAGCAATACTTAATTAAGTAGACACAAGTTTCTAATATCTTACTGAATGTGAACACAAAATAAAGCTAAATGTTTAACTAGCATTGATCAGCACTTGTTAGGTGAGGTGCAGCAAACACAGAAGAACATCTATTTCCACTTTTCTCTAATACTGCCCAACTTTGCCTTGTCTCAGCTCAGGTTCCATTAAAACTCTCTTTCGTACCTTTTATTTATCCAACTTGACTATTCTAATACACCCTGGCTGATCTCTCAGATTCTATCCTCTGTAAAATTAAGGTTATCCAAAACAATGTCCAAGTCTTATTCAGACCAATTCCCTTTCACTTACCATGCTTATGCTCCCTGTATGGGCTCTCTGTTAAGCAGTATCTTGATTTTTAAATGATCATCATTATGCCTTCACTTTCTGTTGTTTACGTATGCCCCACAACCCTTTGACCCTCCCCAATTTTAATTACTGTATTACACCATACCTTCAGTTGCCCAGGCCCTAACTCCTGGAATTCCCTTCATAAATCTCTGCACCTGACTAAGACATTCCTTAAAACTTATTTCTTTTGGCCAAGCTTTTGATCATTTGACCGAATGAGCAGAAATTAATCAAGCTGAGCCTATTTAAAATTGAGGGAGGTTGTATCAGTCTCCTGCTGGTAGCAAAACCACCCACGAACAAATTGGAGGCTGAAACAAAATTTCTGGGAAATGGAACGTCAGTTATTTTCACTAATTAGCCAATTGACACCAGTTAGCACTGCAATTCCTTGACATCTCAGATTAGATGAGAGCCACTAAGACTTTCCACACTTCTCAAAACTACCCAGCAAGCCAATCCTGGGAGGAATGCCTCATTATTAAGCACCCACTGCATGATCACGAGCCCCCTTGTCTCCAAAGCCCTGACACTCCATTTCCATTAACCCCAACCTGCCCTCACTCATCATTGGCCTGTTGTTCCTTACTGATTCTGCATGATGCTTTGCTATAGCTGCTACTACCAGTGGCATTGACAGAAGGCAACTGTTGCCAGTCCTGAATCCCACTAACTGTTGCTTGGTCTCATGTTTTGTTTTAAAATGCTCCTGTGAAGTGTCTTAAGATGATTTATTGTGTTATGGCTACTCTTTAAATAAAATCTTTTGTTAATTAACTAACTAAAACTGACTATAAAATAGACACCTGCAAATTGAGATCTGACTTTCATAATCACAAGATCACATGAGGATGTCAATGGTTGTTTAACCATCCAGAACTACCTTATCCTTACCGCATTGCTACAATCTAGATATTTCTTAAATAATTTCTGCATTTGAACCTGCTGAATTCAGTTTTGTGTTCATTCTCTGCATCCTAAAGTTATTTTTCACCACTTTGACTCGGTGCCTTTATCTTATTCTTACGTGATATACTTGATTAATCATTTCCAAATTAATTATGCCTTTATGCTTGATGAAATCATGTCTCAGATGCTTTATTTTAGGCTAAGAAAACCAGTATTTCTTGTTTTCACAATACCTCAAATCTGACACAACAGATCAGCCTCATGGTTCTTTTCTGTACTGCTTTTGGTGCTTGACTGACTGTGTTGTTTCTCAACAACTAGAACAGGACACATTCCTCAAGGTTGAAACTGACCAACACACTGCATAACTTGATTTTGACTTCTTGTATTCTGTATTTTAGCTATATAATTCAGAATTCTGTTGGTTTTATTAGCTGCTGGTCTGAATCGATTAAACATGCTGAATCTAGGAAGATTCCTAGGAATCTTTCAACTTGTCCTTGGCTATTTCATTGTTATTCATGGATGATGTAACAAAAGCGAAGTACTGGGAAATACACATCAAGTCTCGCAGCATCTGTGGAAAGAGTTAACTTTTCAGGTCTGTGATCTTTCATCAAATTTTTCATAGAGTACTCATGCAGATCAACAGTGGGGGGAAAACAACAGAAGCGAGCAGAGTTGGCAAGGCCCAAGGATGCTAATGCCTCTTGAAGAGATATCTCATCAGCACAGGCCACACCCAAAATTTACCAAGAACGTCAATAATGACAGCATCTATCTGTCTTTTCCCTACCCCTTGCTGATGAATTAGGGTGCTCCTCCAGGATCACAAGGCTGCAAACTGTACTCTGGCTGAAGGACATAAATGTCCATCACCAGGCTTAGCTGCACCACTTCTGACTAGGCTAGTCAAGTCCTAAAAGACACATCTGTTTGACTGGGTCTGTAGCAGGTGATGAGGGAACTGACAAAAGGAAAACATACTTGACCTCACCTTCACCAATCTGCCTGCAACAAATGCATCTGATAGTAGGAATTACCACTACACTGTCCCCACAAGGACTAAGTCCCATCTTCACCCTGAGGATACCCTCCATGTGTGACACTCCCACCATGCTAAATGTGAAAGACTTTGAATAGAGCTAGATTGGGCATCCATGAGGCGCAGTGAGCCATTAGCAGCAGAATTGTACTCCAACACAATCCACAATATCATGGTCTGCCATCTCTCACCCCACTATTACCATCAAGCCCAGGAAATCAGTCCTGGAGAATTTAGGAGGGCATTCCAGGAGCAGCGCTAGGTATGTATAAAAATAAGGTGTCACCCTGGTAAAGCTACAAAACAGGATTACTTGCGTGCCGAACAGAAGCAGCAAGTGATAGGGCTATGTGATTCTACAATGATAGATCACATCTAAACTCTGCAATCGTGCTTACTGTTGTGAATAATGAACAATTAAACAACTCATTGGAGGAGAGGCTGCACATTAGTGCAAAAGACAGTTATGAAACATTTGCAACAATCTTGAGAGTCAGAAGCACTGAGAGAATGATCAATTTTGGCATCTTCCTGAGGACCCGAGCTTCACAAATGCCAGTCTTTGGCTAAGATGATTGTGTTATGGACCAGACCAAACCCCCTCAAAATGTATCAAGAAGATACCCTAGACCCTAACTTTTTCTTAATTTGAAGGTAAGTGTAAGGCGTTGCCTTCCAGATGCAATTTGATTGGTCAAACTACTTGACTTAAAGCAAATCACAGTATTCTTACACCAGAGTTAAAATACAGACAAAATAAAAAAAAATGCTTAACTGTAATTCAAAATACTTAACAAAATAATATAGATATTAACTACTACTAGTTAACTGTTTCAATATAGTAACATCCCTTAATCACACCTTTTGGCAAAGGCAAATTTAGTAAAATAGATTGTCTCATGTGCTATTCTAGCAGTAGGAAGAGAACCCCCAGCTTTTAGCTATAACAGAGAGAGGAATAAACGTTTCCACATCCAGCTTCAAGATCCTAGCAACTGCAAAAAGCTAATCCTGGTTCTGTGGGAGATTGACCTCACCCATTCAGGCTGCTTCTATTGTTCCAACTTTTAAAAAACCTAAAGCACCACAAGCTGTTAACTGTAACGGCTATGAGCAGACCATTTGGCACCTCTGTCTCAACCTTTCTTCATAAAAACAACTAGAACAAAATACACTTCTTAAAGCCATAGTATCGTTACAATTTACTCCACGTGATATCAAGGAACAGCTGAACTCACTGGATCCTGAAAAGACTATGGGTTCTAATAACATTCCTGCAATAATACTGAAGACGTGCTGAATAATACTGAAATTCCTGCAACCCTAGCCAAGCTATAAGAGCTACAACACCAGCATCTACCCAACAATGTGGAAAACTTCCTAGCTATATCATATAAACAAACAGACAAATCTAACCTGGTCATTTACTACCCCATGAGTCGGCTTTTGATCATCAGTAAATGATGGATGAGGTCATTAACAGTGCTATCAAAAAGCATTTGCTCAGCGATGACATGTTCACGGATGCCAAGTTTGGATTGCACCAGGCCCACTCAGCTCCTGACCTTACAATAGCCTTGCTTTAAACGTGGACAAAGTAGCTGAATTCCAGAGGGGATGTGAAAGTGACTGTCTTGACTTCAAGGCAGCATCTTATGAGTGCGGCATCAACGACTCATTTTGCTAAGGGTCCATGAGACTCGGGGTAACTCTCCACCTATTGGAGTTATACTTGGCATGAAGCAAGATGGTTGTCTTTGTTGGACGTCAGTCATCTTAGCTGTAAAACAGCTCTGGAAGAGTTCCTCAGGCTCGTGTCTTAGGCCCGTCCATCTTCAGCTGCTTCTTCAATGCCTTCCCTCCATCATAAGGTCAGAAGTTGGGATGGTTGCTGATGAGTACACAGTGTTCAACACAATAGAATTGAGATGGGGGGCATAATGTGTTGCAGCTGTTGTATGTGGGAAGTGATAGATGCCAGTGCAACATATGATGACCATATGTGCAGCAAGTGGAGGAGTACTGACGTAGAGTTTGAGCTGGAGTTTGCACTGCAGATACTGCAACAAGGAGGGAGAAGAGGTTCCTGGACATTGACCACCTATTGAAACACACTCCTTAGATTAATTACATTAAAATTGACTTTTATGATAGAAGAGTTTAAAACTACTTCTGTGTACTCCTATGAAATTCCAAGAGCAATTCCCAAATAAATGCCCATTCTACTAGCATTAGCACTTAAATAGAGAATGAGCTTGAAAGGCTAAATCGACACCGTTAGATATAAAAGTCAACTCTTAGCAGTCCAAGTCCAATACTCCCTACCTATGTCCGTGACACCACCCACGCCCTCCACCTCCTCCAGAACTTCCAATTCCCTGGTCCCCAACACCTCATCTTTACCATGGACGTCCAGTCCCTCTACACCTGCATTCCCCATGCAGATGGCCTTAAGGCCCTCCGCTTCTTCCTGTCCCGCAGGCCCGACCAGTCCCCCTCCACTGACACCCTCATCAGCTTAGCCGAACTCGTCCTCACACTCAACAACTTCTCTTTCAATTCCTCCCACTTCCTACAGACAAAGGGGGTAGCCATGGGTACCCGCATGGGCCCAAGCTACGCCTGCCTCTTTGTAGGTTACGTGGAACAATCCCTCTTCCGTACCTACACCGGCCCTAAACCCCACCTCTTCCTCCGTTACATTGATGACTGTATCGGTGCTGCCTCGTGCTCCCACGAGGAGCTCGAACAGTTCATACACTTCACTAACACCTTCCACCCCAACCTTAAATTTACCTGGACCATCTCTAACACCTCTCTCCCCTTCCTGGACCTCTCTGTCTCCATATCGGGCAACCACCTCGAAACCGATATTCATTTCAAGCCCACCGACTCCCACAGCTACCTAGAATACTCCTCCTCCCACCCACCTTCCTGCAAAAATGCTATCCCCTATTCCCAATTCCTTCGCCTCCGCCGCATCTGCTCCCAGGATGAGGCATTCCACTCCCGTACATCTCAGTTGTCCTCGTTTTTCAAGGACCGTAACTTCCCCTCCTCGGTGGTCGAGAACGCCCTCAACCGTGTCTCCCACATCTCCCGCACCTCATCCCTCACACCCCGTCCACGCAATAAAAACCAAAAAAGAATCCCCCTCGTCCTCACGTACCACCCCACCAACCTCCGGATCCAACGCATCATCCTCCGACACTTCCGCCATCTGCAATCCGACCCCACCACCAAAGACATCTTTCCCTCCCCACCTTTATCTGCTTTCCGGAGGGACAACTCTCTCCGTGACTCCCTTGTCCGCTCCACACTCCCCTCCAGCTCCACCACACCCGGCACTTTTCCCTGCAACCGCAGGAAGTGCTACACCTGCCCCCATACCTCCTCCCTCACCCCCATCCCAGGCCCCAAGAAGACTTTCCACATCAAGCAGATGTTCACCTGCACATCTGCCAATGTGGTATACTGCATCCGGTGTGGCTTCCTCTACATCGGGGAAACCAAGCGGAGACTCGGGGACCGCTTTGCAGAACACTTACGCTCGGTTCGCAACAAACAACTGCACCTCCCAGTCGCGAACCATTTCAACTCCCCCTCCCATTCCTCAGACGACATGTCCATCCTGGGCCTCCTGCAGTGCCACAACGATGCCACCCGAAGGTTGCAGGAACAGCAACTCATATTCCGCTTGGGAACCCTGCAGCCCAATGGTATCAATGTGGATTTCACAAGTTTCAAAATCTCCCCTCCCCCCACCGCATCCCAAAACCAGTCCAACTCGTCCCTGCCTCCCTAACCTGTTCTTCCTCCCACCTATCCCCTCCTCCCACCCCAAGCCGCACCTCCATCTCCTACCGACCAACCTCATCCCGCCCCCTTGACCTGTCCGTCCTCCCTGGACTGACCTATCCCCTTCCTAACTCCCTACCTACACTCACCTTTCCTGGCCCCATCCCCGCCTCTTCGACCTGTTTGTTTCCTCTCCACCTATCCTCTCCTCTATCCCTCTTCTATCCGCCTCCCACTCTCTCCCTATTTATTTCAAAACCCCCTTCCCCTCCCCCTTTTCTGATGAAGGGTCTAGGCCCGAAACGTCAGCCTCTCTGCTCCTATGATGCTGCTTGGCCTGCTGTGTTCATCCAGCCCTGCACCTTGTTGTCTCGGATTCTCCAGCATCTGCAGTTCCTACTATCTCCAAGTCCAATACACGTGGTTTATTCACAAACATGTCAGGAGCAGCTCCACGGCTCTCCCCTGAGTTACAAATAGCAGGTGACTTTTATACATAAAATACAGTTCCAGACATACAGCACATTATTTCAGGTTGAAAAAGCAATTAAAAAATTACTTACAGCTCACATCAAGTGTTGATATCATAGCAAGCAGGCATCACGAGGCATGGATACAGAAACTGAAGAGCTACGAAAGAGATGTT